GCACCCTACTTTTCCACCCTAGTTTTTCATTTCATTCACTCTTATTTTTCTCACTTCCATTTTTATTTTGTTACATGTCTTTCTGGAGCTAACGAAAATCTTCCTGGTACAGGTGGAACAGAAGTGAATGAATGGTCAGACACCTAAAACAATTCTAAGGAAGAAAAAGGATAGAATGCCATCAGGAACTAAAATAGAAGACTTCTCATGAGAGATAAGATATTCTTTAAAAGGGCCGGCTGAGTGGCATGATGGTAAGAACTGGCTTGGGACGCCAGAGGGCCCCGGTTCAGATCCCACATATGAGGGCCAGTGACACTGCCCTCCACAGCTAAGATGCTGAACAACAGCTCAACCTGGAGCTGGGCTGCCTTGAGTCGCCGGCAACGGCGTAGGCTGCAGTCCCTGCTGCAGTGGGTTGCCATGGGCTACCGTGTGTAGCCAGCAGCCAGCGTGAGCAGCCAGCAGCCGCAGTGAGTGGCCGTCCAGAAGCCAGCGACTGATCTGCCTCACCCGGGAAGAGCGCAATGATGGTGCCAACTTGGGCCAGTGAAGCAATGTCCTGCACAACTAGACAGAAGAACAAAACGACAGCAACTTGTCTGTTCCCCTTCCCCCAATTCCCCAGCATTGTTCCCATCCCCCCAATTCCCCTAAAAAAAACCCCAACAAACATATTCTTTTAAAGAAAACTAACAGCCACTAAAAGGGCTGACAAGGAAACTTAGGAGTGGGGTTTGGGGTAGAATCTAGAGAAATAAACATGGCCCTGAAGAGCCCCCCCCCCCCCCGCGGGGAGGCAGGAGCTTGAAGGTCCCTAACGAGGGGGAAGCAGCCAGTAGAACGTTGCCAGGAAAGCCGCCATTTACTAAAAGGAAGAACAATTTAAAAAGTCATTTAAAAATTATGTTTGGAGCAAGAACAGGAAGAATGGGAGCACCCATTGTTTAAGACTGATGACAAAAACCAGGGGTTGGCAATTTTTTTCTGTAAAGGGACAGATAGTAAATATTTGAGGTTTTGTGGGCCTCTTGGCCTCTGTCACCGACACTCAATTCTGCCACTGTAGTGTGAAAGCAGCTACAGACAATTTGTAAAGGAATGAGCATAGATGCATTCTAATAAAACCTTATTTATAAACACTGAAATGTGATTTTCATATAAATTTCACATCACTAAATATTATTCTTTTTTAGTTTTTTTTTCCCAACTATTTAAGAATATGAAACCATCCTTAGCTCACAGGTCTTATAGAGATAGTTAAGATCTGGCCACCGGGCCGTTTGCAGACCCTAATACAGACCAAGGGAGCCAAACCAGGCACCTACCATTTTATTTCTATCTCTTCTTTCAAGGAAACCCATCCTCAAACCCTAAGGACAACATGATGATGGGGCATTTGAAGAGCAAGACAGGTGAGGGGGTGGCTCCAGCAGCCAGGTGCATTCACACTCAGTCTGCGTCCGTAGGGCAAGAGGGACGGAAAGGACGCTGATGGAATTGTGGCCACTGGTCTTTGAGGAATGTCAGTGGACAGGAGGTTTCAGGGGACTGGACAACAGGAAAAAAATCAGACTCTCAAAAACGGGGCAATAAGGAAATTTGCATATAATGAGTCAGGAGTGTGAGCACGCAGAAAAGACACAGTGATTATTGGGGGCCAGCAAGGCTTACAAGAACACTCCAAATTAACATCAGGTCTGTATTTTTTCTTATTACAAAAGCAATAGAAAAATGAGACAAAGAAACAAAATGGACAAAAGAGCAGGAAAGTCCAGTGACAACCCCTGAACACCCCATGGCATGTACCTGTCCACACTGCACGTTCTGGTTTGTCACTTAATAATATTTATGCATGTCTTTTTATCTAAGTCATCATTTTTTGATGCCTGAAAAGTTAAGGCCGTTGTATAGATATTTCATAATTTAACCATTTGCCTTTGTTTTGGACATTAAGGATATCCGCCCCCACTCTTTTTTTGGAGTATTGTTTTTAAAAAACAGAAGTGCTCATCCTTGTGGATGAATCTGTTTGCACATCTGTATTTTCTAGAAGAAGTTCCCAGAAAAGGAAGTGTGAGGATGAAAGGTGTGCCTCAGGGTACACGGGGGCAGAATGAGGGACATAAGCTTCTCAAGACTTCAGCTTTGAGTCAGTGGAAGTTTCTCACCCCACTTCTGTGGGCAAAAGGAAACTATTGGCTGGACTATGCAGAACGGTTGTCGCGTTTTGGCAGACAGGGTGCATGGTGCCCCAAAAGGCTGGATGGATATGAACAGACAGGAGGCTAGAGCCCATCGGAACGAGGGAGGACCTTGCAGAGATTGAACGGGCTCTTGGGAGGTGGTGGCCCCAGATGCTGGAGGTGTTCGAGCAACCAATCGGGGTGATCAACTGCCCCAGAAGTTGTAGGGGGTATTCCTGGGCAGGGTAGACACTGGGCTAAATGGTTTTTTTCCTCCCTCCCTTATTTCCTGAACACGTCTGGCGCTGGGGACGGAGCTACATACTGTCTCCACTGGTTTCTGCAGCAACTCTGAACAGTGTCTTTCCCTTTGCAGATGTGGCAGAGGTGAATGGTCTCAGTGAAAGGTACAGGAGAAGAAATATATTAAGAGGTACGTCCTTGGGAAAACATTTAAAAGTAAATATCCCTTTAAAAAGCACTCATAAATTATTGGGTTGTCGGAAAAGTCATGACGCATTTTTGCAACGAAAAACGTAGGAAAAAAATATGTCATGACTTTTCCGACAACCTAATAAATGTGGGCTGCTCTTCAAAATTCTAATTATATTGTTTGGATATCTACTTATCTTAGGAAGGACTGCAAACTCAGGGGTCCAATGTTTTCAGGAATGAGCCAGAACATACCAGAACTCTGCACCTAGGGCTCCGTCCCTGAAGTCTGCAGCGAGCCTGTGCCGGAGCCGGTTCGGAAGGAGAACAGTCTGATGATTCATTTCATTACCAGCAGAACTCCAGCTATCATGGCATCGGGCACGCGGCACGAGCTAGGGCCTGGGGCTCACTTTGCCTTGACTGTATTTGGAATCTACCACTGAAACCTTAACTTCACAATACCAAACTGAGGTGTGCCACTCAGAGCCAAATACTGTTGGTGAGGGGTGGGGGTGGCCTCTGCTCCCTTCCAGCCAGGACGGCTTGCAGGCAGGCTGCTGGTGGGTAGGCGGGCAGGCTTCCCAGATGCACCATGGTTGCCCAGTGCTGAGCTTGCAGGCCTTACGGAGCCAGCAGGTCCTGCGGGGTGCTTCTGGCAGCATCACAACAAAGCAGTCCTAGACCCTGGCAGAGCAATTTGGTGCCTGCCTCCGCAGAGGAGGCCTGAGCTGCCTGCTGCTGTGGGCTGCAGCCTCAACTACCTCCGTTTGGAAGATAAAATCCAATTGACTGCCATTTACATAAATGTAACAGGAAGTTTCTGAATGGCTTCCCCTGTGTCTTGAGGCTGTTACCTCGGTATTGCTAAACTAACAGCTGAAATGAACCCAGACAACACCTCATCAAAGCCAGGGGGCGAGGAAGCAGTGGTCCAGAGGCAGACAGGAGCATTCCTGCCAAACCAGAGGCGATTTCACTCTGTGGGCCCTTTTCTGCAGCAACGTCAACAGCTGGGAAAGCCATCAGAGAAGCCAGGGGGGGGGGGGGGGGAGCCTAACACTCTGGCTGGAAAAAGATTTGCAAGCTGGAGGAAAAAAGTCATCTGCTTTGACTGAGCCTTCCTTATGTGCATTCGGAACGGGGTCGCCCTGCTGGATTTCACAGGTCTGTTTTGCACCACTCTGCCACTAAGCACCTGGGGAAGTAGTCAGCTTTTCTACAAAATAGGTCATCTTTCCACCCTTGTTATGCTCCTTGTCGACTCTGCTGAAATGGCCACAGCACAAAGGCAACTCTCCCCGGAGATGCTTTTCTTAGACAGGCTCCCTCCGCCTGTTGGGAGCCTGACTCCTGGAGTGCAGCCAGGGGCGAGGGCTTTGAGAGCATCCCTGTTCTTCCCTCTCCCCAGCAGGTGTGCCACCCAGAAATGGAACAACTGGCTTTTGCTTATACTTCCAAACCTATTAGGGAGTGCTCATAACAAGAAAAACTAATACTGACAAGAATTACACCATTGTTCTATTTCATCTATTTAGCGACCCGAAGTTGCGATTTTTAGGAAAAAAAAAAGATTACCTTTTAAATAACCGATTCATTATGGTACATGAATGAATGCCATGTTCCCGTGTTCAAAATGTCACTCACCATTAAGGGTGCGCGCTGGTAAGTGGCACCGATTTGCCACTTCCCCCTTAGATGCAGACGCCCCTGACTGGGGGCCCAGTATAATCGGAGGCAAGTTTGTGGGTTTCCTCGGCTCTTAGCAAGTCACCTGCCCTGCCAGGCACCTAATGAATCTCAATTGTGTAATAAGAGTTGTAAGTCTCTTCTCCCTGGGTGAAGGTGAAAAGGGAAACTAGGACTGATGAAGTTCCTGCCAAGGTAACACTATCAATTTCAAGGCCGAGTTCAGAAATCACAGACTCATTCGACAGGAGTGTGAGGGGGGATCGCCAAGGTACCCTCCTGGCCACAGACCTGCCTTTGAGAAATGAGAGGTGAGGACAGAGTTGGACACGGGAGGGCGAGAGGACTGGCCTCCGCTCTGTGCAGCTCCCGGGTCCCCGTGGGAAACCTGCCCTGGATCTGGCGAGGGGAACAATGCGGTGACTATTCTCAGGAAACCGCCCTTCAAGCTTGTGAAATCCACACATTGTTTTTCATCATTAGTTTCAAAACATGCTGAGTATTTGGCCCTTCTCTAAGTGCTTCAGTGACACAAAGGAAAGGGGAGGCCTGGTCCCTGCAGGGACCTAGCCCCTTGCAGGGAAAAAGAGAGAGAGGTAAGACAGATGCCATCAGAAGTCAGGAAACACAGAGAGGGAGGTGGTGCCCGGGACGCAGTAGTGGCAGCTGGCCATTGGCAGGGGCCCCACGTACCTGATATGGCATACAGATTGGAGTGCTGGTACTCATAATCAGCCCGAGTGCTGTTCCTGCCTCGGAAGGTAGCGGGGAGCGTTAGAGAGATGTGCCTGAGAAAGAGACAGAGGAGAAAAAGGGGGTTACAGGGTACACGAGCATTGCCCTAGGCTCAGAACGCACCCGATGGCATCGACTGCCCATAGCAGCACGGAGCAGGTCTTTTCCACCAGCTTGAGTCCCCCCCAAGGAATTCAGAAGTTTCCAGACAATAGTGACCACACTTTTTCACACCAGGAAGAACATCCAAGGTACTTCAAGGAGGTGGGCAACTTAGTCCAGGTCTCTGCCCACCGGGAAAAATACACCAATGGGACCAGAACACTCAGGCTCTGAACAGGAGCCTTGGCTTGTTTCACTGTCTTGTTCCATTATCCATCCATCTATCCATCCATCCATCCATCCATCCATCCATCCATCCATCCATCCATCCATCCGCTTCCACACCTGTCCCCCGCTCCCCCGCGGGCCGCTGAGGATAAGAGCCCGGGAAGCACTGTGAACAAAGGTGTTGGGTATCATTATTACCATGTGAGTCCAGGAAACTAATGGCCACTGAGAATGGGAATGGCACGCCCCTCTGAACTGCTTGTCTGCGTGTCCCCCTCTGGTGGGAGCACACAGTAGGTGCTCAGGAAAGCACCTTTGCATGCCCAGCACACCTTTTATGGTGCAGGTGTTGCCCATTAAAGCTCACAGTGTATACAGAGCATAAGTGAGTATTCAATCAAAGCAAATAATCCATTTGGTGTGGTCGTCAGCTGCCTTTAGTGAATGTGGAAAAGCAAGATTAAAATACTAGGAGAAATATTTAAAACCCAATAGGTCAGGGGGGGAAAACAACAACAAAAATACCTCTTCTTGGTAGGAGTGGGGTTTGGTTTGACATAGCCTGAGCTTTGGCCACACTCAGTCATTTCCAAAAGGGAGGGAACATTTACTACATAAAGAAGGCTTTACTTTTTCCATGCTGGCTTTTTTCATACAACAAACGGGGGGCCTCCTAGAACAACTCTTATACACAGATTCCTGGAGGGAAGGTTCTCCAGGCATGGCCTGTTCCCACAGAGCCAGGAGTGAGTAGGAGCATCCTGGGGACGAGACCAGCTCTGAAGGCTGTAAAGGCATCTGGTTTGCCGGCTGCAGAATGAGCACTGACGGCTGTGCCGCCAACCAGCCCGGCTGGCCAAGTGGTGGGGCTTCACTGAGCACGACTGTGTGCTCAGCTGCAGGGGAACCAGCAGACACAAAGCACCGACTGTGCTCAGGGCTGCAGGGGGACCAGCAGACACAAAGCACCGACTGTGTGCTCAGCTGCAGGGGGACCAGCAGACACAAAGCACCGACTGTGCTCAGGGCTGCAGGGGAACCAGCAGACACAAAGCACTGACTGTGTGCTCAGAGTTGCAGGGGAACCAGCAGACACAAAGCACATGGACACGTGCCCACGGGGCACTCTGATGTGTGCGTAGTGAGTGTGCACTGTCTGCTCATTACTGATGCTGGCTAAGGGTCAGAGTGAGTTCCCTGAAGGAGGTCTCAGGCTACAGGGGATTAAGGTGCAGGAACAAATCACCGTGCAACATGACATGCTCGTAGGAGAATAAAAACTGAGTGCTGAGTGAGCACCAAAGGAAGGAACAACACATCTGGATAAAGGGGACACTGCTTCTAGTGACACCTTCTCAGAGGGTGACCTGGACGTTTAAGGAGTAAAAGGGGCTTACTGGGTGGTCAGGGAAAGCTGACACTCTGGTGTAGGGTTAGGGTACACACGGGAAACGAAGCTGGAAAGGAAGGCTGGGGCCAGGTTGAAAAAGATGCCCAAATGCCACACCGACAGGCTTGGGGTCCATGCCCTAGTCTGAAGGTGCCCACCTCTGTTCCACCCATCATGGCACAGACAAAAGTATAAGAGTTGCCCAGAAACTTGCTAACAATACAGATGCATGGCCCCAACCCTGGGGAGTCCGGCTCTGTGGGCCTGGGGTGCAACCCAGAAGTCTATTTCTAACAAGCTCCAGTGACAGAGGCCTGGCCAGGCCTGGGAGCCCGAGAGGGTGAGGAGCAGCTGCAGAAGGGCTTCCAGCAGTTGATCAATGCCTCTGACCACAGCACTTAGTCGGTGAGGCTGAGCCAACACAAGGATGAATTATTGACTGCGGTTGTGGTTGAGCAGAGCTTAAATGATGACAGGTGACCCTGCATAGTGTCGCCATGTGCCAGGCCCTGGGTATGCGAATCTCACGCGTTTTCCTCTGGCTCCTTGCATTGCCCCCTATGAGGCGGGGCAGGGCCAGCTGTTGTGCAGGGCCTGGTGCAAAATGCAAAGGTGGGGCTCTGGTTCCAATATTGTTAAGAATTTCAAGATGGTGACGGCAGAGCATTAAGCCAAGTGTGGGGCCCTTCTGAGCACAGGGCGCTGTGGGAGTGCACTGGCCACACAGCCATGGAGCCGGCCCAGGGAAGGTGCTGTCACTGCACCCACTGTACCAGCGAGGGTATTTCCAGGAGCCAGGGAAGAATGCGCTTCAGGGCTGCCACACCCTAAGACCTAAAAAGGTGCATCCCACTTAAGGACATGTGAGGCAGCTACTCCAGGGGCTGGAGCCATTCAGGGACGCTCAGGGAGGTGGGGCTTCAGCAGAGCTTTAGAAGCCAGGAGGACCAGGATGATGGCCGAAGAGGCCTGCCAGGACTCGGAGGAGAAAACGGGCCAGCCCTGCTATTCAGTGGCTGAGAAAGCACCTGGCAGATCTATTGGGGACTCAGCAGCGGCAGGACAGGCAGGGTCCCCTCCTGTCCCTGAGCTCAGCCTACAGCAGGGGACATAAAAACATCCACGAAGTTACAGGACACTTGCTTACAAAGGCGGTTGTGTGTGGAAAGCAGGGCGACTAAAATGCTGTGCGAGGGCTCTGAAGGATTCCCCAGGACTGTGTGGGTGGAGAGGTGAGGACGGGCAGGTGGGAGGGGTGCGGCAGGGAGGGCCAGCCGCCAGGCCTCCTAAGCAGCAGGGAGGGTGGCTGAGGGAGGACCTGGAAGGAGGTGGGGATGGCCAGGGTCAAAAGGCCAGGCAGAAGGTGTGGGGCCAGGGGGACCAGGCTGAGGAGGGCTCAGGGCCACAGCATTCAGGGTCCTGAAGTCAGTTCTGACTTTAACCCGAAGGGGTTTTAAACTGAGACAAGATCCAATCTGTAATCTTGAAAGATTGCCTGCCTGGGGGGAAGTAAGGGGGAAAAAACAACAAAAAAAACCCAACTGAGATGCCAGAGTGATGGGAATGGAGCAGCAAATTATGATGGAGATCATGAAACCACAAACATTTGCAGTTTCAGTACCTACTGTGTGCAGATGTTTATCAATTCCTGTCAAAATGACCTGCTACAACCCTCTAAATGAACAGTTTTGGGACAGCCGTGCAGCACATGGACCTAAAAAGAAGCATGTAACACAGAAGTCCAGATGCCCGGCTCTTAGCTGCCCAGGCCTGGTATGGGCTTCCGGTCTGAGTTCCCTCGCCCCTGGGCTTCCGGTCTGAGTTCCCTCGCCGCTCCGCTCCGGGACCTCGGCTTCTGCCTGGCTGGCCACACCCTGCAACTCGCCCTCCCTCTGCCTGTTTCTCTTTCTTCCGCAGATGGTCCTTTTCTGGCACCTCCTCCGACCCTGTACAGGTTGCCGTTTGCACAGGTTCTGGGTTAGCTCCCTTCTCATGCCACACTTTCCCTGGGCAGCCTAATCCGCATGCGTACCCTGATTTTCGCCACCCTAACACAGCGGCCCACCTCCCCAGACTCTAGTCTCTTGTAAATCTGTAACTATACCATGTTTCTTTCATGTCTAACCCTGATTCTTTATCCACGCTGCTCCCTCTTCCTAGAATCTCGGCTTCTTCCTGACCTGTGCTCCAAACTCCTGTGTGTCCTTTAAGACCCCACCTAAGCATCCCCTGGGCCGCAGTGCCTTCCCTGGGCTTGCTCCAGGCTGGATGGGGTACCTGTCTCACCTCTGCTATTCCAGCTATTACAATATGTTAATCGTCTGATACAAGCTTGTCTCCCCAACATGACTGTGTTCACCTCGTGAGCAGGGCCAAATCTCATCAATGTTGCACCCCATTTTCTAGGATAATTTCTGCCCTAGAGTAGACAATTACTGAACATTTGTTGACCAAATCAAGTGTTGAATCTACTCCATGAAAACCCCTGGGTCCTTCTTTGACATGAACTGCTGCTACTTTCTGTTGCTTCATTTCTGATGTGTGTGTTTGCCCCATGAGACCCAAGGGCTCTCTGGGAGCCCCATTATATCATGCATCCCACTCCTCTCTGCTGTGGAGGAAAACAGGTATGATGGAACAAGAAATCAGTGGTGGGCGGGACCAGGAATTAACAAGGGGAAATAAAAGAAAGTTTCTGATCACATACAACAGACATTGTGTGGTGAGGCAGTAAATGTAAAAAAGAGAATTTAAGTTGCAAGCTTGACGGTATCTTTTATAGACTAACTGCTCAATAGGAACCTGTTGGATTGAAATCAAGCTACCAAAAAGCGACAGTGGCTGATGTAGGCGTGGGTGGGGGCAGCATTCAGACAGCAGAAAGTGGGACCAGCCCCCACCAGAGAGGGTTAATGAAAGAGGGTTCCCTATGCTGCAAATAGCTGCCTTTGCATTTTCACTTCTGTTGTTCCTGACACAGGAAGGAGGGGACCTACATGGGTACGGGAGGCAAATCAAGGCCTCCCCTTAATGAGAATGAACAGTTGGGCCAAGGGGCAGATCACCTGTGGTTCAATTGAACAAAAACGTCACCCACTGAAGGAAAAGTGGCCCAGGGGTGCAGCATCATCAGATCAGCCTGAGAGTGATGGACACAGGACCGGCTCCGCCATCAGCTGAGTCTCAGCAAAACGAGACTCTAGTTCCTCGGTGTCTGACGGGGACCCACCTGCCAGGCACGGGGCTGGGTTCCTTCATACACATCACCTTGCCTAAACCTCTCAGCAACCTTTTTAGATAGGAATCATTATTTCCATTTAACAGAACAGGAAA